CAAGATAAAAGTTGTTACTGGAGGGAGGGGGTACAGACAGTTAATGTTGGGTGTCCCGGGGGCTGATTTGGTGCCTGCAGTTTCCTACACAATATGGACAAAAGTATTGGGACACCAGACTGCCCAACATCTCACTCTGAATCTAAGGGTATTAATATGAAGTTGACTAACCCCTAGTTCCTGTAGTATCCTGTACTCCTCTGGGAAGGCTTTCTGTTAGATGCTGGGACATTGCTGGTGGGATTTGCTGCCATTCAGGTTGGGTATTGATGTTGGGTGATCAGGTCCCTGTCTCTGAACTTGTGTGGCTTCCACTCTACATAAATAAATACAATAGATACTTGAATATCAATATTTGATTAAATATATTTTCCAGTCTATTTTGTCAAACTGTATTTTTTTTTTTAATCTCTATTCTATTACTTTCAGTCATAGTGTCTATATGGAGCACAGTAGTACACAGCTGTGTCTTCAGTCTGCAGGCTCTTCCCCTGTAAGGACACTGTGCTGCTGGAGGTGTCTCTGGAGATGGTGAATTTATTCTTAAGTGATTCTTTGTAAGCAGGGCTTCTATCATACCATATAAAACCTACCCATTCCAGTCCTTTCCCTGCCGGCCGTCGGATCCAGTCTGTAGCATAGCTGCTGTCAGTCAGTGAATAACCAGAGACTGCCCTAAACCCATCAGCCACACAATACATTACAATCCTATCTGAAACATAACACTATTACAAAGAAATAGTGCAAATAACAGTGCAAAAATAACATCAAACATCATATTAACATATGGAAAACTAACAAGGGTTCCACACTATTAACCCATCTATTAATGTTTAACATCATGGCTTTAAAGTTTACTGTGAACCTGAATCCCTGTGATTGCCACAGTTTAAAAAAAATGCTACAGTTTTATTTAACTGATTTTTGGATAAAAATCATGTGTAAAGTCTACCAAACATTCTGAAAAAACTAAAGTCAAGGAACCTGTGAGGAAGTAGTATTTGTATGGCTTCCCCACAGCCCCCATCACTGTGACTCTCTGGCACAGTAGTACACAGCCGTGTCTTCAGCTTTCAGGCTGTTCATCTGTAAATACAGCTGGTTCTTGCCGTTGTCCCTGGAGATGGTGAATCTGCCCTGAACAGACTGGGAGTAGTAAGTGCTACCACCACCAGTGCTGATCTCTGCGATCCACTCCAGTCCCTTCCCAGGAGCCTGTCTGATCCAGTGCATTTCATAGCTACTGAATGTGAAGCCAGAGGCTGTACATGTCAGTTTGTGTGATTCTCCCGGCTTTTTAACTGCTGCTTCAGACTCAGTCAGAGTCTGTGTATCGACACCTAGAGAAATAAAGAAAAGCAAGAAATAAGAATTACAGACATTTAAAACTGAAATATAAACCTGTTCCTGAATATTTACCTGTTAAGCATATAACCATCAGAACTACTGGGAACCTTGTTAAAGATGCCATGACTGACAGATTCAGATCCAGTCACCACTCAGTGCAGAGAGATAAATGTAAGATGAAGATGTCAGGATTTGCATGAACTCCTCCTCACTGGGTGGGCAGATATACTGAAGGTAATTGGCAGAGTCAGGGAAACAGGATCTGTACTATTATACAGGGACTCATATG